GGGGGGGTGACTAAACTTATGAATGGGGGAGGGGGGAGGGTATAGGAAGTCTCGAGCCAAATGTTTTCTTTAACATTTGTTGCGGGGAATATCGTGATGTGGAGAAAATAAAAAAATCCTGAATTTCTTGGAATAAGTAAAGTGAAGTTTTTATTGAAGAATTTACTTCATATTTAATAAAAATTAAAACTTTAGAGTAAATTCCATGAATTCCCGGTAGCCTGGCCTTCCCGTCCCCCTCCATACATTCTTTTGTATAGCCCTCCCTCTCTCCAAATTCATTCTTTTGCATGGCCCTCCCTTTTATACATTCTTTTGTATGGCCCTCCCCATCCCCCCATACATTCTTTAACATTGCCCTCCCCCAAACATTATTTTGTATAGCTCTACCCCATACATTATTTTGTATAGCCCTCCCACATACATTATTTTGTATAGCTCTACCCCATACATTCTTTTGTATAGCCCTCCCCCATACATTATTTTGTATAGCCCTACCACATACATTATTTTGTATAGCCCTCCCACATACATTATTTTGTATAGCCCTCCCCCATACATTATTTTGTACAGCTCTACCCCATACATTATTTTGTATTGCCCTCCCACATACATTATTTTGTATAGCCCTCCCTATACATTATTTTGTATAGCCCTACCCCATACATTATTTTGTATTCCCCCCCTAAAGTTCTTCCCCTCCCTTGTCTACCACCTAGAATATAAAAATGCTTTAATTATTTAAGTACTTTAATAATTCCATACCTCAATTTCTAAGGTAAACATCCCAAAATTCAGTTCCCATGCTGCAAATCACGCTAAACTTCCCAAACATAATTCCAACGAAAGCAAATCCATTAAATCATTTCCAATATGCTTTACTACCGTTCCCCATTTAGAAATCCCAAAATGATATAATGTAATCTCATAATCAAATTACCATAATCATATTTATGGCTAAAAATAGCCTTACCTTGCTAAAAATTGCAGATAAAAAACAAATTAACGCTTCATTTTTTCATTAATTATTTTTTGTTAAACACTTATTTTATTTATCTGTATTGTGCTGTATGAAAACGGAAATTTTAGAGAATAAAATTAGCTACTTTGAAATAAAAATTGATATCTTTTATTATGATTTCTGAGGTTTCTCTCATAAAATCTCAATTTAGTTGTTAAATCCATAGGTAAAATATTCATCAAATAAATTATGTAAAAAAAATAACAAATTAATGAAAAAAACACAATTTTAAACTTAGTTTAAATACGCTAAAGATGCCACTTAAACGAGATCAGAATGTGATATAAATAATTCAGACTAAAATAAGACTCAAGTAGGTTGTCCCACGAAACATGACAGAAGCAAGACGAATCAAAGGTTGTCTTTGAACTTTGAAACAATTTGCGGTATTTATAAACTTGATTCTAAAAGTAAAATTCTTGGGTTAATCATCATAAAAATACCCCTTGTTTTTAGCATTTCCAAAATGTTGTCTGCCATTTTTGTGCTTTCAATATTACTGGATATGACACGGTGATTTTGTTAAATAAATTGTTTAAGATATATTAAATACTCATGTCGATGTTTTAAAAGGCATTTGATTTTAGGATCAAGAATTCTCATGCTTTGTGAACAACTTTGAATGTAATAGCTGTGTATAACAGTCGTATTTATGAAGTATATGATTTCACCGACTTCTATTTGTTCAGGATTTATTCCTGCACATATTTTAAACCTAACATTCGTGGTATAATTTGAAGTTTGTCTGATAAGGTAATCTCGACTATACAGCTCTGTTTGAATGAATGAATGAAAATTTACATAAATATATATTTATATATTTCATAAAATAAGATTATAATAATCAATCTGATAATGAATGAATCTCCTGTATATTCCACCCGCCCCGCGACAGTACGATAAAATTATTAATTTGTATTTTTTTCACTACTTTCAGGCATATGTCTTCCAACCCTAGGCGAGGGTAGGCGAGCTATAGAGCGAGTCTGCCCGCTACTCTAGACTGTAGCGCGGATATCCAGCGATGCATAGGTGGTCTGCCCGCTATCAGTCCGGTCCAACATGAATGCCGATTTGAATGGGGAGGGGAGTGGGGAGGGGGGCGTAGAACTGGTTTTCTGTATGAATTGAATTCAGTAGGATTTAACTTTCTTGAAGAAAAATTGATTCAAATCATTAGAAACCTTTTTTCTTGCACTTTTTTCACTTGAGGACTCTTCAACTAAGTAGTCTTTTTTGACTGTCCGTGGGGCTTGCCAAACCGTGCCCCGCCTCTTCACTACATCTACACCCCTGACTGGTAGCGGATTGGTAACAAGTTTCCGCTAAGTTAGTTAATCCTTTTAGCGGAGCATAGCACAGAAGACAGGGTAGAGGAATTGATAAAACTGCTAAACAGCCCCATCTCAAACACCTGAAAAAATAAAAAATTATGTCAAAATTAAGTGATAAGAAAAGGTACTAAAATATTTTGTTGAACAGTTGAAGTCATTAGAAAGGTTGAAAATGAGTAATTTTAAATGGTTTTTAAGGGACTTGAAATTAAAGGGTCAGGATTGTAAGTTGAATAAACGTCCTTGTCGAAGGACGTTTAAGCCAACCACACTTTATACAGGATGCACAGGACAGAGGGCCAGGGGCAAAAAGGGTAACAGAAAGGGGAGGGGGGGGGGGTATTATGGCGTGAAACGCATTTGAAAGAACGGATTTCTCCTGTTCTAACTGAACTGAAAGTGCATTCAGGGGGGGGGGTTCCTGGAATAATTGTTTTAAGATAAAATGAAATAAAACTCCATGACTGATACCGATAAGAATTCTGCAGAACTTAACACTATTAAACATTACATGAAACTCATTCTCAAATGTATTTATGTTTTACATGTATTCCATAGCTTTTTAATCTTTCAATGCAATATTTTATTTAGTTTCACTAAAACCGGTTATCTTTTGAATCTTAGAAATTACGATAAAGTGAATAAAGCAAGATTTCCAAGAGGTTTATTACCCCTCAAAGAGTTAAAAAATAGAATAATTAATTAGGTGTCAACTTGATAAAGCTAATAATCCCTGATGACTGACAAATTGAATTATTTTTTTAACGACTTATAAATATTTTTAGGGACCAACTGTATTTGAGTTTCAAGTTCGAATTTCTTCCTTTAAGACAGCCGGGGCCGGAAGATCAGAATGAATGGAATTTGATTTCAGCTTCAGTTCTTAGTTCCCACCCTCAACACCCCA